CAAAATACTTTTTTTTGTTCAAAAATATTTTATTTTCAAAATATCGCAAGTCAATTAGTTTTCCTTTGCGCTTGCGTTTTTTCGAGTTTCTAAAACTCACATTTTTTGTTGTAAATAGAGAAGAGAAAACATACAGTCAAAATATAAAGAAGATAGTTGTTTTCATTATTAATTTATATATGCATACTAGGCATAAACACTTGAAAAAATTTCTTACATTAATATATACACAACAATTTTAAAACATTCTTAATAATACCTGAATAATCATATGGTAATCAAAAATCAAATGCAATTATTTGCATAATTATTTGCTGTGAGCTAGAGAGTATGCTTGTGGTATGTTGTTAATGAATTGACAGCTCATTGAGAGCAAGTGAGCGAGAGAGAGTGCAACCTTCCGCCCCACTTACTAGATTTTAGTGTTGGTAAACGGTTTAATTTGTACAGTGTGTGACTAAATTGAGTGTTGTTCGATTATATAAAGACATTTACATTTAAAAATTCGTTTTTTTTTCATTTAAAAATATTTAACACTATTAATTATAAGAAGTAAAATTCTTATATATTTTAAATACTCACTTTTTTTGACTAAATTCGTTAGTAATTTATTAAATTTGAAAATTTTTCATTAATTATGTTTAGAACATCATCCATTGAAAAGTGCGTTGCGTTCAGAAATTACAAAAATTGTGCATTTTGTGAATTCAAAAAAGTGTTTTTCACCATACACATAGGAATACATATAGAGTATATCATACAAAAATCAAAAAACGGTGCATTTTTTAAATTTGTTTTTCGGTGCGATTTTTTCCAAAAACGAACCCAAGACAAAAAGTGCGTTTAATATATATTTTCATTTATGTAAAATATATAATATTTTTACAAGTCAAACACGAAGTTGATGCAATTAATTGTAGTTGGTTGTAGATATTAGAAGCGAGTGGCCAAAAAATATGTAAGAAAGAGAGAACAAAGTTTTTTTGGTTTTTATTAATACTACTTTTCAGTATATACAAAAATGCACTGATCTCGTAGTTGTAAATTAAAACGTAATAAAGAAA